TGGTGCAAAACGACGTGAGCTCTGATGAAGATTCGTTGATGAACAGTGATAAGGATTACGATGGAATAAACGCAGAAGTAAATGAAGAATCATTTGGTAATTTTAATTGGAGATTACCATCCCCGGCTGTGGTCGACAATATGTCGTCACCCAACATTGTTCATGGTTCACTAAGCCCAGAATTATTGCATGGATTACGCTCACCATCTCTTTCAGCAAATGAAGCAGCTGCAGTAGATGAACCTATTTTGCCTTCACCTTCTAATTCACCTGTACCAAGTCCCATTGTTCGCCGCGCTCGTGCTCGTGGTAGTGGTCGTGGAAGAGGCCGTCTTCGTAGCTTAAATACTACAGCTCGTACGCGTGGTCGAAACAGTCGTGTCAATCGCAGATAGATCATTAGATCAGTAATGCCAATCAAATTTAATCCAATTTTTTTTTTCTCTAATGCTTGCTATAATTTTTATACTTGCCGTTATTCTTTTTTTTTCCAACTCAATAATTAGACCATTTTTCATACATACATAATAAACTTTAAAATATTTAGACCCAATAATCGTTCAAATTCGACTAATTGAAACCAAACGGTGTATCCAACATTTTTCGACAACAAAGAAATTTTTTATACTTAAACTTTTTTTAAAAAATAAACTTTGGATTTAAGCCAAAAGTACACCCTGTTTTGAAGCATATATTGTGAATGCAATATGTTAGATGCAAACTTTAAATAACTTTTATCGTAACCACCAGATAGCGAGCTTTAAAATGATATATTAGTTGTGTAATCGGATCTAATTCCGGACTTATAAATAAGGATATAACATAACTTGTTGTGTAACCATCAATGACAACCTGGGACATTTGATGCGTTGGCCCAACAAGGAGCAAAGAGAATTGTCGGTCGCAGCAATCCAGAAGTACCGCTTTTTTCGAAATTGCATTGGGTATATTGATGGTACTCATTTTCGTCTTGCGCAGAAGCCAACGAAGCATACAGAAACGTATTAGAACCGAAAGGGTTTTACTCTTTGAATTGTCAAGTCGTATGCGACGAAAGCATGATCATATTTGGATTGCAAGTAGGACATGTAGGTTCTGTGAGTGACGCCACATGTGTAGAGAATGCCAGCTTTATGGCAAATAAAGACCACCTTTATTTCACATGTCCTAATGGTTCAAACCATGAGTATCTTCTGAGTGATTCCGGATATGCTCTACTTCCATTCGTTCGTGCCCCTTTCAGGAGACCTCAGGTACTGAAATCAAAGAAGTGCGAAGATTTCAACAAGTTACATTCTTCTGCGAGAGTTGCCGTCGAAAACACGATCGGTGTACTGAAAGGTAAATGGAAGATTTTGAAGAACATTCCTATCCAGATAAATTGGAACGAGGACGTGATAAAGATGAACAAGATGGAGTCGGTCTGTGCTCTTTTGCACAATTTCTTGATTACTGAAAACGACACTTTTGCTGGCAATTTTTTTGAAGAGGTACATGTAGGTCAGTTAAGAAAGGATGTATTGCTGCTTCAATCATTCGACAACATCAAACGCATTTCTGGTCGTACAAAGAATAGATGGAGGGATTCGGTCGTGGATGTAGTATTGGCAGATTACACTGTACATTTCGCACGAAATAAAAAATAAAGAGATTAGATCGATTAAAAATGCATTATAGTTTGGAAGTTATGAGCAAATTTATTACTGTAATGAATGAGGTATTGTAGAACGCCATTACTGATATAATCAGGTAAATATTAGTTTCAAAAAAAGGTTTTATTCTAAATAAAGAAAAAAACTAACGTCTAACTACTTCAGACTAGTGTTCGAACTTTTCGAGCTTGCACCGATCTTGCGCCAGTTCGAACGAAGCTCGAACCGAGTTTTTGTACTCGAGCTTGCGCCACTTTTTTGGGTTCGAGGGAGCCTCGATCGATGCTCGCTCGGCTAAAATGTCGATAGTAGTCACTTTAAAGTTAAGGTCCTTGAAAGACTACAGATGGCATTTCCCCTTGATTTTAATCTTTTCTTCCCTTTACCATTTTTTTTTATTTATGCTCTAATAATTCCAATTAGAATGCTTTGGACTTTTATTTAAAAATTGTACAACCAACAAACACATTTACCATAGAAAATGATACAGTGTTGCACACTATACCCAACTAAGCCATTTTTTTACAGCAACCATAGTAACATGACGTAGCAGAATTAATTTAAATTTCATTTTCACAAATCCAAATGTATTATAATTATAGATGCAGTAATAGTTTAATTTAAGTATCCGAATTTGGTGTTAAGGCTGGTGGAAAAAAAGTTTTTTTTTTCTTTTTCCAACTTCTATTTCAATAAATAACAATTTTATTATCATAACTTTCTGTAATTAAAATCACTTTGACGCGCACTTTGTGTAATAAAAGGGCGAGCGAGTTCGAGCTATCGTATTTGCGACCGAGCCGAGCTTAAGAAACTTCGAGCGAGCTCGAGCTCCAAAAAAACGCATCCGAGCGAGCTTCGACTGGAACATGATCGAAGCTCGCTCGAGAGTTTCGATCTTCATTCCGAACACTACTTCAGACCCATTATCAGAGAAATCATCGCTACCATCAAAGGCGGGTTCAACTTCACTCTCACCTCTTAATTCAAAGGCTACTTCATTACCTCGAACATCTTGGAGAGGTTCCCTCAAAAATTGTCGGAATGCAGCAATATTTTGGGTGATTTCCGTCAAAAACGTCGATCTAAATGCAGTAGTCCGAAAACTCTTTACCAACAGCTCCATCATACCCAAGTCGAGCTCCCTCTGGCTGTTCTCTCTCAGCACTTCATCCCTTCCCAACTGGGCTTAACGGTACTCTGCAGAGAAATCCCTCTTCATTCTCTTGTTTCTCATAGCGTGATCAGGATCTACACGAATACGATCAACTGACGGCATTTCAGGTTGCGGTCTGGACGACCCAACATTCCCACGAGCACCACGAGAACTACGACCACCAGAAGCAGCACGACCACCAAGAGCACGAGTACTACTGGAGCTTCCACGAAACCACGGAAACCAGCATTACCACGAACAGTGTCCACATCATCATAATCGCTGAAGGCATTCGTGCCAAGGATTTCCGGAACCTCCCTGTTTAATGACATCGAACTACGACGAGTTCTAGGACGATCTTCAGGAACCAGAGGAAGAGAAGACATATCGTTGTCACCTGGTAGGCTTGACAGACAAAGAGCGAGGAATCATTGATGATCCAGCCAACGAAGGGCCAACAGAAGGATTGTGAGTACGAGCTGAAGGTTCCTCAGAGACAGATCAAATTGGCTGAGCTGGTTCAAGCTATTCGGCCTCACCAAAAACAGCACGGGTTTGGTTACCAATTGCCGTGATGGTCGGTTCTGTAATAAAAGTAGACTTTAAGAGAGAATAGTTTTACAGAAAAAAATTCATAAAAAAACAAAGAGAATACAAAAATAAGTCTTGTCGATTTATTATTATATAAAAATAATAGGAATCGTAACTACGCAGTCAAAAGGCGAGCTAATTTTCAGTCACAACAGTTACAAAGGTTAGAATTTTTAATGGGGGTGCGGTGGCTTCCCTCGCAAGAGGGGAGGGGGAACCCCTCCCCCCAAGAATACGGCCCATATTATTAGCATGAAAGAGCTAATATCTTATAAAATAGTATTTGTTCTCGTTTTTTTTTGACAGTGTAATTTTTAGCAGTGGTAAAAAAAAATTGGGGGGACGGGGAACCCCTCCTCCCAAGAACACGGCCCATAGTATTAGCATGAAAGAGCTAATATCTTATAACATAGTATTTGTTTTTCTTTTTTTTTTTTGACAGCGTAATTTTTAGCAGTGGTAAAAAAAAATTGGGGGTGCGGGGGGTTTGGGGTTAGGGGGAACCCCTCCACGCAAGAATACGGCCCATAGTATCAGCATGAAAGAGGTAATATCTTATAACATAGTATTTGTTTTTTTTTTTTTTTTTTTTTTGACAGCATAATTTTTAGCAGTGGTAAAAAAAAATTGGGGGGTGCGGGGGATTCCCCCGCAAAAGGGGAGGGGGGTTTGGGGGGAGGGGGAACCCCTCCACGCAAGAATACGGCCCATAGTATTAGCATGAAAGAGCTGATATCTTATAAAACAGTATTTTTTTTTTGGCAGTGTAATTTGTAAGCAGTGATAAAAAATAATTGGGGGGAGGGGGAACCCCTCCTCCCAAGATTACGGCCCATAGGATTAAGCATTAAATTGTTAACTTCTAAAAAACAATATTCCTTTATTGTTTTATAACACAATATCCTAGAGCGTAATATTTTTTCACAGCGTGATTATTTTTTACAGTCGTATGTTTTTAAAGCGTAATTTTTTTTTACGTCTTAATATTTTGTAGCAGAGGTACAAAATTAGAGGCTGGGAAAGCCCCTCCTCCTAAGAATACGACCGATAACATTAAGCATTAAACTGAAAAAAAGAGCTTAAATAAAAAATGACTATTTTGTAGAGAGTCATAATATAAAAAGTGCTTTTACGGAAAAGTCATTCAAAAAAAATATAACTATGGGGGTTTGGGAGTCGAGGCTACCCTTCACCCCAGTATAACAACCAATAGCATTAAAAATTGTATTATTGAGGTTATAGAAACAGGCTATGAACACTTTTTCACGGACAATATATCATTATTCGAGAAGAACTGAAAAATTGTTTGTTTTAAGTCGATGAAGGGGTCACCTTTGAAATTAATATTTTGGACCATTAAGTCTTTCATTACAAACCGTTCACTATGAAGCAAAAACATTGCGCATAAAATAGTTAATCAGATACATAAACAAATATTACTTTAGATAGATCAAAGTTTTAGCCTGGGTATAGGGATATAATCTTTTTCCAAATATTTAAACATGTATTGAGAAACATCAAAGTTTTCTCCAGTGTCAAACTATTAATAGGCAGTGTAGCTTAAGCTATAATGGTGCATGGGCTTTATGATTAATTAATATATGTTAAGTTTGTTATTTCAAAAACAGGCCTGGGGCAGCACGAGGCTTTTTCAAAGCGCAGCGAAGGTCAAATTTTTACCGAAACGGAGGTTTGGTTTGAAAAAGCCTCGTTTGGTTAAAATTTCATTAACAACGGACCTCAAATTACGAAGAGTGCACGGCAATCGGATGAAGATCCATCATCTACCCTCCGCTAGTTGGGACCTGCTTTTCACCAAATTGAAATAAATTTAAAAATTTATCCAAGAAAGAAAAAGAAAAAAAACTTTATATAACCAGAAAAGAAAAAAAATTATCTATATAAAGGTGATCAATTACCGACTCCTGTTTCCTCTCCCCACTTCACATCCTGCTCCAATTATCCTAAACTCTTTGATTATGGATAATCGATTCGACCCGGATTTTGACGAAGTCATTGTCATGGACAAAAGTGTAATGAAGGTAGCCTCCACGTCTAAACCACCATGGACGGTAATCAAGAAGACCTCATCAGAACCAGCCGTTGCCACAAGTACTCCTAAACCTATCTCTATTTACCGAAATAACAAGATTAACGTTGATAATTGTCGGAACCAAAGATTGCGAATCAAGGGCCAAGCTAAGAAGGTAAATAACTCTGGTAATTCTGGGTATGATGAGATTCAAGCTATAGTCACCAACCTGAAGGAAGAATTAGCACGATTAGTAAGTTTAGAGGTAAAGGCAACGGAAAGAACGCGAAGAGCAGACGAATGCTGGATGCACGGTGTTATCAAGCCAGCTCTTTGTTATTTACATAAATCCAGAAACAAGCCTACGACTACTAGTGAACGAGATATTTATATCTACTCTCGATTCCGTACTATTCAAGAACTCACCAAAGATACTCCCTCATTATCTCATCGTTTAGCTAAACGGCTGTCTCGAGCTGACACGTGGACGTCGGCCCTATTCAATCCCATTTACGATAAATGAGGACTCCGTCATGAGTATAAACTGTCAAATTCTATTGTTACTTTTTTTTCCCCTTGTGGTTTTTCCCATTTTTTTTCTTTCTCTTTTCCTCTTTTTCTTTTTTTCCTTTTCTCTTTTTCTCTTGTTCTCTTTTTCTCTTTTTCTCTTTTTCTCTTTTCTCTTTTTCTCTTTTCTCTTTTTCTCTTTTTCTCTTTTTCTCTTTTTCTCTTTTTCTCTTTTTCTCTTTTTCTCTTTTTCTCTTTTTCTCTTTTTCTCTTTTTCTCCTTTTTCTCTTTTTTCTCTTTTTCTCTTTTTCTCTTTTTCTCTTTTCTCTTTTTCTCTTTTTCTCTTTTTCCTTTTCCCTTTTCTCTTTTTCGTTCTTCCTCTTTTTCTTGCCTCTGTTGTTCCTTTATACATGCGAATTTATAACTTTTTCCCCTTTTTTTAATAAATCTTATTTTTCCCTACACTTACTATTATTTCTATTATGTGGGCATAATGTTACCCACCCCGGGAAATGTTACGCGACAAATAGAGCGTACTTTCAATTTATTTTCTCCTTTAATCACCTACCAAAGTGCATAACGCCTTTTCGGACTTGCACCTATCAAAACTACCTCTTTCAATCTTTTTCTTATCCATAGATCTGTGACCTCGTACTAGGCGCAGTTATCTCATTCTTCTTCATAAATTTATTTAATTTCTTTAATTTCAGTGACTGGATTATATATCCATCACTAACTATAAATAGTCATCCATAAGACCTCTCTTTCAATACAAATCCTCATCTACTATCTTACTCATATTTCAGTACTTTGACCTATTAGTTTTATATATTATTCAGCTCTATTATCATTCTTATTGATCCCTTGGTTATATATTATCATTGTATCTTTCATTTTATGAGCATATAAGGCTGTACGTATTCTCATTTATATTCAGTTCAGCTTCTGACTAAACTAGTTGTGGTGCTCACTTAACTCGCAACTCTAAAGACCTTTTTTTACTAAACCTCTATCTTATTTAAAGAATCTCTTTTATCTCTATTATTCTACTCGCATTCTCTTCTAAAAATATAGCTTCGGCAGATTCGACTGTAACTTCCGTTTTTGGGTAAGGAACAATGATATTCGGACATAGAGGGTATGCCGAATCTACATATGCGACAAAAAACATTGATAAGTATAAACGTAATCCACTAATAAGATAACCACTTACCAGCAAGAATATATCCATTAGATAAAAAATATCTATTTGGATTATTTAAGAATTCAGTATAAACCTCAGTTCATTGAAACGCTGCAGCATCCTGAGTACGGCCTATCTAATTATCAGACCACACACCATAAAATTGTTCCTAAATAGTTTTATTGTACCTGAATCTCCAACACGTATGTACGTAAAACGCCCTATATCGTCGGAGATAGCCGTCAATTTCATAGCGAAACTTCCCTTTCTACCTCTCCACTGTTTCTTGTGATGCTTTCTAGCTTCGATCACAACATTTTTACCATCCAAGGCACCTATGACGTTAGGCAAACGACGGATAGCTCCAGGTCTATTACCATGTGGCCACTCGAAGCCATTTTGGATAGCATTGACTCTGTCACTTTCCAAGGGCCAGCTGATCAAATCCACATAAACATCTTCAACAGCTGTTAAAAACCGTCTAAAAAAATTCATGTAACTTCCATGTGAAACACCCCAAGCCATTTGATAAGTTCTATATCCAAGAGGACAGTTGGTCAAGCGCCATATAGTACAGGATACTTGTACGTAAACTGGCAAAGCGTTGTGTGCTTTTAGATCAAAAGCAGGGCGGTTGCTCAGATCATTAACAATCCTTTGAAAGAACGTGCGATCCATTTTGTACATGGCTCAAAAACTGGTACGTGGGCTATTCTCGTCAAGTAAATGTGGATGGGTTTTTGTCCAGTAATGGCAGTTGGTAAAGGTTACGCCCTCTACAGATGTCTCCGTCGGGGTGGTGTGTCTACCAATAATGAGAAAGGGCAAAGCCTCGAAGAAAGAAGGAATGTCAAAAAAATATGTCGAGTGATAGAGATAACCCTCTTGGTTTATGTTGTCTCGTAACTGACTTTCCTGCCAAAACATCGAAACTATTTGTTGCTGTCCTGTTCTTATATTCTTCATTTGTTTGCGTAAGGTCAAAATGGCGATGAAGGTATTTGTTTGCGTAGGTGTAAGCATTATAAAATTTATATTGAAGCAAAAGCAAAACAAAGGAAATAAAAAAAATGTAACGGAAATTTAAAGGGAAACTGAGGAGAGTAAACTTGAATATATCCAAAATGATGTCATACGCTAGGATATATATAGGGGGGACCAAACTTTATTACCAATTGAGCGATTTGCTTTTGAAAATAAAGTTTGTTTGGGAACGGCTATTGGCAGTAATAACAATGAAGCTGACACAATCGATGATACAAGTAACACAGAGGATCGTAGTGAGGATGACAATGATCCCTTGAATGCTGGAACATCCGAATCAATTTTAATCAGTGATAACGATATTACCATTCTTATCGCTCCCGGTAAAGGGGGAATTCCGATCTCTATTGTTAAAGACAAGGATAGTGATTTCCTGTCATTTCCAAAAGTATATTACGGTCAAAAGCTTGAAGGATGGGAATATATTTCCTATAGTTCTTTGACGAAATCTGTTCCTGAAAATTTGATAGACGAGCTGCCATGGGTCCTGACTTGGTCCTGTGCCATGATTGAAAAGTTCTGTTTACCAAATTGAGTTCTAATATCAATACCATTTTGAGAAAACGAGGCATTGCTGCAACTGATAGGCCGTTCCCAAGCAAACTTTATTTTCAAAAGCGAATCGCTCAATTTGTAATAAAGTTTGGTCCCCCCTATATATGTACTAGGGTATGACATCATTTTGGAAACTTTAAGTTTACTATCCTCAGTTTCCTTTTGACTTTCCGTTACATTTTTTTTATTTCATTTTTTTTTGCTTTTGCTGAAATACAAATTTTATAATGCTTACACCTACGCAAACAAATACCTTGATCGCCATTTTGACCTTATGCAAACAAATGAAAGATATAAAAACACGACAGCAACAAATAGTTTCGATGTTTTGGCAGCAAAGTCAGTTACGAGACAACATAAACCAAGAGGGTTATCTCTATCATTCCACATATTTTTTCGACATTCCTTCTTTCTTCGAGGCTTTGCCCTTTCTCATTATTGGTAGACAGACCACCTCTACGGAGACATCTGCGGAGGGCCTAACCTGTACCAACTGCCATCATTGGACAATAGCCCATCCACATTTACTTTACGACAATACCCCACGTACCAGTTTTCGAGCCATGTACAGAATGGATCGCACGTTCTTTGAAAGGCTTGTTAATGATCTGAGCAACCGCCCTGCTTTTGTTCTAAGAGAACACAACGCTTTGCCAGTTTACGTACAAGTATCCTGTGCTATATGACGCTTGACCAACTGTCATCTTGAATATAGAACTTATCACATGGCTTGGGGTGTGTCACATGGAAGTTACATGATTTTTTTAGACGATTTTTAACAGCTGTTGAAGATGTTTATGTCGATTTGTTCAGCTTGCCCTTGGAATGTGACAGAGTCAATGCTATCCAAAATGGCTTCGAGTGGCCACATGGTAATAGACCTGGAGCTATCCGTCGTTTGCCTAACGTCATAGGTGCCTTGGATGGTAAAAATGTTGTGATCGAAGCTAGAAAGCATCACAAGAAACAGTGGAGAGGTAGAAAGGGAAGTTTCGCTATAAAATTGACGGCTATCTGCCACGATATAGGGCGTTTTACGTACATACGTGTTGGAGATTCAGGTACAATAAAGCTATTTCGGAACAATTTTATAGTGTGTGGTCTGATAATTAGATAGGCTGTACTCACGATGCTACAACGTTTCGATGGAGTGAGGTTTATACTGAATTCTTATATTATCCAAATAGATATTTTCTATCTAATGGATATATTCTTGCTGGTAATTGGTTATCTTATTAGTGGATTACATTTATACTTATCAATTTTTATTGTCGCATATGTAGATTTGGATACCCTATATGTCCCAACGTCATTGTTCCTCACCCAACAACGGAAGTTCGAGTCGAATCTGCCGAAGCTATTTGGAAAAGAATATTCAACAAGGTACACTCTTCGGCCAGAATGACAATTGAGAAAGCATTTAGGAGACTTGCAGCACGTTGAAGATTTATCAGTAAGCATGTTTATATCAGCGAAACAAAGGATATATGCCAATTGATTACTGCAGCATGTATCCTTCATAACTTCTGTATAAATATCAATGATCCTGACTTCCCTCCGGATGAAGTAAATGATGATGATGATGTTGTTGAGGAAAGTGGTAATAGTAACAAAAACGATAGACAGGGTAACAATGGTGGATCTTTAGCTACAGGACAATCCAGAAGACAGCAATTCAACAGATGGTTTTCGCAATAAAGAAAAATATTTACTAACAATTATTTATTGATTATTACGCATTTGATGAGCTAACAAAGCTAATAAATCACTCAACTGAGCTTCTGATCTTCCGTATATGGCATTGCTCTCCCGCAATTCAGCTATCATATAATTAGCATTGGCCTTGTTGCTAGCAATATGCGTTATCATGTATTCCCTTAACATTCTTTCATGACGGTCAAGCGCTCTATCGTTTACACGATTTTGAACTGCTTCCCAACCTAACTGTTCCGGGGTTAAGTTTACCTGTCGTGAGCGAGGAGGTACTGGTTGGTTTGGTGGTTGGCGAGGTCTAGCCGCTGACTTTTGACGAGGTCTAGGTGTCGGCTCTTGGCGTGGACGAGGTGTTTGCACTGGGCGCGGCCGAGGTGTTGGTTCTTGCTGGGTGGTAGGAGAGGGTGATTATTGTTGAAATGAAGGTGGTGGTTGGCGATGAAAGGAGGGTGATGGTGGTTGATATAAAGGTGATGTTTGACGAGGGGGAGACGATTGACGTGGAACAGTTCTTCTTCTACTAGTAGGAGGTTCTAGGTTCTCGGACATAGAAGGTCGAACATGCTCAAAAGTTGACGATGCTGGATGGGAAGAGGAAGAGGAGGGCAAAGGGTTTGCTTCGGCACTGGGAACAGGTACAGGTGGTGCAGCTGTATTATCCGTAAAACGTCTCGTTTGAGAGGAGTAAATACGGGGTGGTCTAATTGTAGGATAATCTTTTAGTAATTCATCCAACTTGTCATATATCTCATCAAGGGCGAAGCCAGATTCTCCAGTAGTTGCTCGTCTGGTGAATTTATTCTTGTAATTCTCAACAAGACTCTTCCATTTACTCTTGATAGGCTCTAATTCGCGAGGCGGAACATTGGCACGTTGAGCTTTTTCATCATACTTTGTTTTTCAAATGACGGTAAGCTTCTCCAGTCACGAAGTCGCTTCCGGAACTTTCAAGAATCCGTAAGTAAATGGCATAGCATTTGATAAGCAGGATTGTTTCTAAAGATGACCATGAAAGACCACGTCTTCCTTGAGAACTAGGAGTGTCACCAAATAAAAAAACGCTGAACATTGTTAGGGAAGGTAAATAAAAAAATGAAGTTTTATAAGAAAAATAAAAGGAAGAATAAGCGACTGTGGATTCCTATATATTGAAGTAGTCGGGTCATCTTAGTATTTCAATATCAAATGCTTACGTCATGTCATACTTGTTTTTACTTTTTTGTAATTTATACCCCCCCTAGAGGGGTATAAATTACTAATTTGTAAATCGCCTAACCCCCCATAAATTTTGGCTGGTAAATTTTTTTTTAAAGTTTAAATTACTATTTTGAGCGAAATACTTTTATTCTCAAAACGTGAAAAAAGATTTGCTTGGGAACGGCCAGAATGTGGTATCTGACAAGATATTGCATAGAAAAGTAATAAGATAAAAGTATATTTTTATTAGAGATTAAAATAGACTAGAAGAACTCAGCTGTTACTGTATGCAAAAACAGGGCATTGCGGTAAGTATATGTCTTGAATAGACGTTCAGTGTATTTGTTTTTGCCTACAGCTTTAACCAATACATATAAAGGACGAAACCATGATGCCAGGGTTTTTACAAGCAGTGTTCTATACCATAAAATGCTGACAGACGATGCTCGATGGTGTCCTGAAAATACTTTTATTTTGGGAGGTGTGTATACGTTAGTCATATATCATACGTTTTCACTGATAAATATCTCAATTGTAAAACCACCTTGTAGATTCAGCTTACCCTCTTCTCCCAAACTTGGTCACACCCTTTTCAACCATCGACAATTCTTTACAAGAATACAAGGATTTTAATGCAGTTCTTTCTAGCTCAAGAATTAAAATCGAGCATGCATTTGGGGCCTTGACACCTAGATGGAGATTTTTATGGAAACATCTTTACATGCTTAACATCAAGGGAATAGCAAAACCAATTCTGGCTTGTTGTGTTTTGCACAATGTGTGTATTGACCAGTGTGACATTGAAGAATCTTTTGAAGCTGGTAATTTGGAATATGCTGGGTTTATCAGTGCAACGACAATACGTACAAGAGATGATGTTGAAATATCTCTTCAAATTCCTACACCTCTCCCGAATAATGTAGTACCCGCTCATCCATCAGCTTCTACCTTACGACCTACGAGGATGACCACTACTGCTTTACGTGATCTTAAAAGACTAGCTATAGCTCACCGTAACACTCTTTTGGAATCGTTAAGTCAAGTCGAACAAGCCAATGTTTTGACGACCTCCGATCAAGAAGAAGACGAAGCTGATTTTTTACATTCAGATGAAGATGCATAAATTTGTTTTTTTTATGTACGTTATTTCTTATTTATGCACGGTTTTTTTTTTCTTATTTATTATCATACTAAAACTTACAATTCATCGTATTATTTTGTGGCAAGTTTTAGTTAGAAAGCAAGATAACATTTGTCAACGGTAGATGCTCAGTCAAGAAAAATATTTTACGAGAATGGTTTTATTATGAAAAGAAAAAAAAATCTAATTGTTTTAGTTGTTAGAACGAATATTTGTTAACAAGTGATACTTTTCAAACGTTTCTTCCAAATGCTTTCTTCTTTTTTCAGCCGAGTCTTCATACAAGGCATGTCTCTCGCGCATCAATTCTCGTCTTCTTTCAGCTATTTCATTCATGGTAGCTCTTCTACTCTCTTCCAGTCTCGTCAAAAAAGCATCACGATCGATTTGTCTTTTATTCACGCCCTTGGACTCTCAATGTCATTATTGTTTGCATAAATTCACGATTGGAAGACTGAGCATTATTGGCAATTTGTTGAATTCTTTCAATTGGATCAAAGGTAGAATTATTGGCAACATTATTGGTGGTCAAAGAAGGGGCGTTGTTGCTTGAGTCAGAATGAATGAAAGTGGCGCGAGGGTTAGAACGATTGGATGAGGAACGATTGGAGGAGGGACGGTTGGAGGAGGGACGATTGGAGGAGGGACGATTGGATGAGGAACGATGGGGGAGGAACGATTGGATGTGGAAGGGTTAGATAATGACGGGTTTGGCGTGACAGGATTGGAATTGGCAGACGTACGAATACTAGCATCAGATGTGATTGGAGATGATGAAGGGGGAGGAGTGTTGCTTCACTCTGCATCTGAGTCAGACGAATGGCTATGCTCGTTGGTAATATCTTCGACAAAGAAAGAGCATTCTCTTGCTAACCTGGAAAGAGGAGTGTTAAGAGATGCGCTTGGATAGCGTTCTCGCCTGGCTTTGTTGATCACCTCTCTTTTAGCTTCTGTGTCATCCATATACAAAATTCTACCTAAACCCAGAAGATTTTGTACACCATTGTTTCTATTATGGCGACCAGTTTCAACTGCAGATTGATTTGATTCCACTACTCGTTGAAGATCTTCATCTTGATCAATATCATATATATGAATACCAGTCTTCTCCATGTTAACTGTTTCGAACAAAATCTGAGGATTGATACTGGGATCATCTCTTGTAATGGCACCCACAGCAGCATAGTACTCTTCATCTTCAGGTGATTCACCCCCATTTCCAGTAACACGAGTATCGTCACGTCGTGCTGTATATCTTCTTCTCATTCCAGCCCATTGTGTTTGCATCTGCTCTGATGTACCTTTCTCTGCAAAACGTTTTTCGGCATCGGTGGGGTTACTCTCCAATAGTTTCTTTTTCATCAAAATTGTAGAATACTTCCAAATAAGTTTCTTCATGTTTGTATCACTTCTTTCAACTAGAACAACGTGCGTCTCCGTGGTAATTTACAGCAAGATATCCTTGGCCTTCTTCGGCCATACCAAATAACTGCGACTTGTAGTTCCACCTTCAGTGGGCTCTTCGACAATTGCATTGTCTGACGTATTGACAGGTGGCAGGGAAATGGGAACATTTGTAGATACTTGATTAACGGGATCACTAGCTCGTTGTTCAATTATATTAGTGTTATCTGGTATCTGACTTTCAATAGCTGTTTGTCCATCGAAGTTGACAGAGACCCAGTTGTTTGCTCCTGTGGCTGTACTAGGTCCTCTAGATCTTCCTTCTCTACCTCTATTACCTCTAGATCTTCCTTCTCTACCTCTATTACCTCTAGCTCTGGTACCTCTCGTACCTCTAGTGCCTCTACTACCACCTGTACCTCTAGAGGAGGTAACGCTTCTGGACTCATTCATAGCAATATTGTCGTCGATGGTATGACTATCTCTGGTGGTGTTGCCGATGGTATTGGTGTTGTTGTTAATTTGATTATTACCGCTGTTATTGCTGTTGCTTTCCATTTCGTTGGTTATATCCGTAACAGGGTACACGATTTCCATCCAAAATCTTGTTCGCATCTATCCGTTATAAAATCTTTGTCTATCCGCTCAAATTTTTTGTGCATTCGACTCGTCTCCTTCTGGTCCATCTTTTTGAATTAATACGCTTTCTTGCATCTCTTTGATCTCGTCTTCAATTTCGACATTCAACACATTTGTGAAAAGATTTTCGTATAACTCCCGATCATTAAACAATGTCACTTTCACCAGATTCTACCTGGGCAGATATTGCAGCTGTTGGTAACGCCAAGAAGGTTCTTCGTCCCATACCTGTCTCGGATGAGACTGATTCTGAATACAAGCGTGCAAGTACCATTATTTACGAAGATGAATGTCTAGAGGCTCTCATCTTAACACAACAAGCGACGTCCATCGTAAAACAAAAGTTGACTGATGGATCTGTTTTGTTTTCTTTCTCCGCTACCGTATTCAAGCATCGTTTCGAGGCTTACCACGCCATTAAATCCCAATGTGGTCCTTTACACGGCGTTAGACCCATCAGTTATAATGGGGTTCCTTCTGACAGTACCATGTTGTTGGAGGTTAACTTTCTGGATCATGGTAGCACTATGAAGGCTATCACCAGTGGTGTCTCTGTTAAGGACAAGATTTTTTAAACGTTTTCGAACGAATTTTTCTGACAACCATAATTTCGTACACGTCAAGTTCTCGATTTTATATATCCCAGACCAAGAAAACTTTCTGGAAGATTTGATATCATCTCTAGCGTATTATGGACAAGTATTACAAACCAAGGAGTATTCCTGTGGTGGTTACTTTGAGGGTCAGATGTCCGTCATTCTGAACACGGTGGTAGGCTACACGGATGAAGATGATGAATATCACGCCAGTGTACCTTTGTCAAACAACTTGTATCTATCCGAATGGGACTGTTTTGCTACTGCGACCTTTAAAGGTGCTCCTTCTGTGTGTCATTGGTGCCATGTTGCTGGTCATATTCGTTCCAAATGGCCGGAATTAGCGAAGACCAAATGTTTTGTATGTCATAGTCATGGTCACACGGCCAAGTTTTGTAAGAGGGGAAAACGTTCCGTAGTTAGGCAGCCTGTTTTGGCTGCAGTATCCCAAGATATTGACTTGGATTCAACTGATTGTCTTGATGCCAATATTTTGTCCGACTCAGACACTGATATTTCTGATGTATCTATATCGCCCAAGATTGTTTCCCGTGGTTCCGAGGCTTCCAAGTTTGCAACTACTGTTCATAGTGTGTCTGGAGAGGTGGACCATGTACTGGATACCACCACTCTGCCTTCTTCGAACGCAGATCTGGTTGGTAGAACTGGTGGGCCCGAAAAAGGTCTTAGTCCCCAACGTTCTGCTTTAGGTAAACATCCTGCCTCTAAATCGAAAGTGAAAGGGACGTTTCCCAAAATGGTGGCTCGAACACCCCCTACTCTAAAAAGTCATAATTTGTTTACGAAGACTATGGTTGTTAAAAAATAACCATTTCAATTTCCCCTTTCGTTTTACGTATAATTCACTTATTGCTAAATAAACTTACTGTTCATACAAAAAAAAAAAAAAAAAAAAAGAAAGTTATATCCGTAACAGTAGTCGAAAAATTGTTACTTATAAAGTAAGTTGTATCAAAGAAGATAGAAAAATGAAAGGATAAAATAAATTCAAAATAAAAATTCGCTTTGCATGATTTTTATTTCATTTTGTCATTTTGTCATTTTATCACTTCCTTTTTGAGCTTCTATTTTTCAATTTAGGATCAAATCGATCCTAATTTCATTTTTTATTTTTTGTCCCTTTTTGTAAATTTGACGAATTGGGAATTTATTTGTTTTTATCAATTTGGTCATTATCATTCCTTATATATAAAAAAAATTAATCTCAAATTAAAAAAATTCAACTTGAGAGGACCTAATGTCGAAATTGAAGGCGAGATCGAAGAGATTGGTGAAAGCCTAATAATTGGAAAAGATAAAGCTTGCAAAGACGCGTCGAATGCAAAATAAACATTGGATGGATAAATAGAATTCCCCGAGATATCGTCGAAACAAGTTTTTGGATGCAAATACCTTTTGTAAAAATTCTTTAAGCGAAAGAAAGCCTCTTTTGTAAAAATTGTTTAAGCGAAAGAAAGCCCTTACAATGGAATCGTATCTTCCAAAAAATAGAGACTTTAGGGGATTAATTTTCACTGTACTAATAAGTAAATTTCACGATTTTGAAATCCGATGTTGCACAACATAGTGTAAGTTTTCATCAATTTTGACACTATTAGTGAAAACGCTTTCGCTAATCTGTCTTTGAAATAAGCCAATTGTAACTGTTAATATTACATTATTTTAGCAACGATTTTTGCATTATTATGAGTCTATGATTTCATGATTTTAGTTGTCTTTTCTTACTTTTATCATTTAATAAACATAAAACATGTCCCAACAAAGCACAGAACTTAACGATTCCGGCTACAGCAGTAGCAACAGTAACAAAGACAACAATATAAACAGCAATAATGATAGCAACAATGACAACAACATCAACTTTATTCAAGACGGTAAATTGACTGGGTCGAAGTCTACTGAGAAACGTGGTCAATGGTCAGAAAGTAGAAAATTGGCAGCCGTTGAGGCCAGCATATCTCATCGTCCTTTTGACAAGAAAAAAAACAATGTAACAGTAGCATGGGATTTAGTTCTCCAAGAAGTCAACAAAGTAGACCCTCATTTGAGGTCTCTTCGTTTGACTTCATTAAGAAACTATTTGAAGAAAGCAAGAAAAGAAATAATAGAAAAGAAAAATGCGGATCGACTTGCCAGTGGTACAAATAATTCTGAAACGACTCTCGAGAATCGACTGAGCTCAATAGATGATGAGGTAATTAATTTAAAAATTTGATATACTACAAGGTTTTAATGATTTCCATCGATTAAACTTAAGATGACTGAAGTCGAGACGAACAAGGATGAAGAAGATCCTTAGGCCAGCTCTGTCCACATAAAAAAAGAGAAACCCAGGCAGAGCTATGCTCTCAATCGTTAAAAGGAGTGAACAACAAAATAAAGGCAACTCAACGTGATATTAAAGAAAAGCACCCACAGATATCTCAGCAGCCAGAGGCAAGAGAGGAGATGTATGTGATCGAAGACGATAAAAACAAGATGGAACGTCCCACACAACAAGAACATTTTGATAGAAAGCGTGCAGTAGAGGAAGCACGAAAGAATGAGTATGCTTTTGCTTTGGCTGAATCGGAAAAGCAGATACAATACCAGCGTGCTTTTTTGAGCGATGTTAAAAGTTTGATCAACAAAGGCAAAGAGGAGACAATTGCGGCTGTAGAGGCAAGCCAAAAGAAATTTGCAGATGACATCAAGATAAATCAAAAGATCTTTGAAGATAACTTGTTGGCATCTGTAAATAAAGCAATATCATCTTAAGTCAACGTTCAGCAATACCCTCCGCAGGTTGTCTATCCTTACCCCCCAAAACCACCACAACAAATACCTCAAAAAATGTATCAATTTAAACAAAACGACTCAAAATAAATTTATTAAATATTAGTTATACTGTCGATATATTGTTGTAACGTAGGAGGTCATAGTCCGAAGTAAAAGCTGGTTTGATTTCCATTATTATTACAGGTATGTATATTTTTCAAAAGAGTTGAAACAACATAGAACATTCCAACGCGACTTAGAAAAACCTTTTGTCCTGGTCTATATCTGACGAAAGCAAACAGAGTTGCGACATGCCCAAACTCCCACTCCACACATTCCCTGACTGAGGACATCATTTCGTTTGTTGTACGTTGAATATCTGTTAGAGCCAAACCAGTCAAAAAAGGTCTAATAAGGCAAGATGATGGCCGATATGCGGGATCACCATACAGAGCGTAGAATTTATCGCCAATATCGTCACAGTCCAAGATTTCATCCAATTCGCTAATGATATCTGAGCTATCCAACATGTTCATGTCATGAATCGCCCCAGCAAATGGTCCACACAAGGCAACATTGATACCGTCAGGAGTTACAATTGCATGGTATTTCAACCCGTGCTCTCCCACATGACCGTTGTATACACTACCTTGATTTTCACCAGGTCTACACACAGCATTCAAAGTTCCATCTATAAATCCAACGCCCTCATTATAAGGCGAGCCTTTCTGGATGATTTTTTTTTTTTTTTTTTTTGTATTAACTGTAAGTTTATTAGATATATAAAGAAATTATAGAATTAGCCAGAAGGCGTCACTAGACTATCACTACGAACTAAAGGGGATTGAGCTTCTAAAGTATCAGCAATAAGTACTGAGTGATCTTGTTGAAACATGTTAAGAGCAGCCTGTGAGTTCCACAGATCACCATCGATCACACAGCGCCAATGGTATTTCCAAAGTGTTGCTAATCCAGAGCCAA